AAAAAAAACCCCTACAAATAATCAGAAACACTTCATCCAGACACCTTGAACCTTCTGACCGTCTCAGCTGAGGTATGTGATGGACCAGTTTCTTAGTTTCCAGCCCGGGCAACAACCCTCATACTCTTGACTTCTACACACCTATTATAAAAAGCACTTGCGGGTGAGGTCACTAACATGATGTCCTCTGCCTTCATCCATATTGTCATAAACAACACAATTTGCTTCCCTTTTGAAGACTGGGTAGTACTACGTACATAGTACACACTTGAAACTATAAGTACAAAATCCTGAGATAGACTAGACTTCTGCTGGGCCCAGGTCTGCAACACTCCTTCCCCTCTCACAGACAGGGTCAGACACCTGCTGAGCACCTGAGTCTTTATCTAACTGACTTCCATGTGCAGGGATTCTCACCTGGGGAAAATAAACTTACATCAAAGAGGTATTGTTGGCCACACTTCCTGCTCTCCATTCCTTGATCTGCCTTCTTCCTGGGAATTAGACATCCTGGCTGCAGGTTCCTACCATAAAAACTTTCCCTCTCTAGAGAGCTGTAAAAATAAACTCCCCCTTCCCACAAATCGGCCTCTGATTTCTCCCTTGAGAAACACCCCCATGCTCTTTCTCCACCACAGGGATCTGAACTCTTCAGAACCCTCATCATGCGATCATTTGTCTGTGCATGGCATTAATAACTCTTCTAAGAAACTTCTTATTCTCAACAAGCCTTCTCAGTGTCCTCTTGAGCCCTCATCTGAGTCCTTAGGCACCAGCTTTTCTTTAGTGCTGGGTAGGACATCGAGAGTGACAGATTATGTGGCCTGTGAGACTAAAGTTGAAATAAACATGGGATGTCTCTCAGTTTAATGGAGGTCTTTTCTCTCATCTCAGGTAGGATGCAGGAAGCTCACAGCCACACAAAACTTCCAAGGTGTCAGTGACTTCCAGGTTCTATATTTGCATAAATTCAAAGACTGAATTATAGACAGCAACGGAATCAGTATTATAGATTCATAGATAGGAGTTTTAAATAAAAGGAGGCGATACTCTGGTATAGCTGGAGCAGGTCTCTGGGGAATGAGTGCCATTGAGGGTCACAGCCTTGGAGTTAGTAATACTTTACTGGATGGAGACAGGGAGGGCATGAACTGTCAGCCCCGTTCCCACTCACAGTGTCTACATAAATATGTGTATCGGTTGTGTCTTTATGTGTTGAACCCAGAAAAGGGCATTCTAATAAAGGAAGAAAAGGAAAAACCAGACACCCCTCCCCTACTTCCTGGCATCTCTGATCTCTGTATAGAGCAGAACCGAAGATGTTTTGTTTTGGGTTAAATCCTTCTGCCATCTCTTGTCTCTGACAGGGATGAAGCTGCTGACAGGGCCAAGGATATTTCCAACTTTTAGCCCTGGATGGGTACTATCAATTTTTGGTGTCCTCTACCCTAAATTTCATGGGCCTGCCCTGTCATCTGGGTATCCTGTCACTTTAAGAGACAAGATCTGCCCACTCTCAGTCTCTTTCTGCCCACTGAGACAAGACCACTTCCTCTGGCGCCTCTCTCTCTCTCTCTCTCTGTCTTTCTCTCTGTCTCTGTCTCTGTCTCTCTCTCTCTCTCTCTCTCTCTCTCTCTCTCTCTCTCTCTCTCTCTGTCTGTCTGTCTCTCTCTCTCTCTCTCCCTACTATTCTTTGGAAGAGTCAGCTTTCTGACTCTCTCCCCCTTCCCTTCTCTCTCCTCTTACATCTCTCTGTCCCTCTATTGCTCTCTTTCTCCTCTTTCTTTCTCTTCCCATACCCCCCATAACCTTATACCTTCCCAACACCCACTAAATAAACTCTCCATTCCCCAACTTTCTCTGCATGGTGTATCTCTCTGTCCCTTGCCTGCTGCAGTCCCCAGTCACCATGGGACTTGCCAGGGTCACCTGTGTCATAAATCACAACACTGCTTTCATCAGCAAGATCCTTCTGGGGACTTGTAAGAGCTTCAGAGCCCTGGTGTTTCAGCAGGGGCCCATGTTGGCATCTGTTTTGAAATGAAGCTTTGTTAGGGGAGACACTAACATATGGACAGACAGGACGAACTAGGCAAAGCAAGAGTTTATTCTTACAGACTTTAGAGAGACGCAGAAGTCTCAGGACTTGTGGTTGACAACACTATGCACCAGCAGTCAGGTGGTCCTCTGGCTCCTGAGTGGCAGTAGTAGGGACTAAGTTTCAGTCTCTTATTTGCTGTGTGTCTAGCATAATAGATGAGCCACTTGAAGTTCCTGATCACTTAGGAAAAACCTCCTTTGGGAACATAAGAAATAGAGTCACAAGCAAACTGTATTCGTAGGGTGCCTGTCATTTCTCTAAAGTAGTAGGACAGAGGAGAGAAGTGGGTGTGGCTTGAAGTAGCCTCAAACTACCATTTTATTTTTAAGTGTTTGAGGCCCCCCCATTATTTTCTCACTGTCTGAATTATGTGCTTTCCCGCCAACAGTGAGCATGCGCTCTCTGTTTTGAAGGTACTTGGTGACACCTGCTGTGTCTCCTCTTCATGATAATCACGCTTGGGGGCCTGAGCTGCTGTCTTGCAGTAATGTGAATGGTGTTTCCATTCACACTGGGGACATTGGTGATCCTGTACTTCGTACCACGTGTCTGTCTGCTGTTGTGTATTTGGGTCTATTTCTAATGGGAAATGTTCTCCTTTGCACTGAGGTACTCAAGTGTTTCATGTGTTGGGAGCACCAATCCCATCACAGATTTGTGCTTCGTAAGGATTTTGTCATATGGCATAGACTGTCACTTTACGCTGTTGACTACGTCCTCTTCTGGGCAGGAACATCTTACATTCTTAAAACACAGCTAGTTTGCTTTTGCTTTTCATATTTGCCTCTTCTTTTTTCAGTCAAAGTAAACAAAGAAAGAAAGAAAGAAAGAAACAAAATTAAAAATTCAGCTCCAAAAGCCAACATGGCTGAGGCTGCTCTCAACCATGGTCAGAGAAGCTTTGTATTACAGTGAAAGAAAACCAGTCTTCTCACCCTGAAGGAGTTTCTGCAACACCCTACTCCCAGCTCACATCTCCTATGGTTCATAGTCATAGTACAAGACTGTAGGTTTCACACTTCCCTTATCGGCTTAACTAACCAAAGCTTCTGTTTGTACTGTTAATATTGGACCATAAATGCCAAAGTGGTTAATGAGTTGATGATAAGGATGAAGTCTGGTAAGAGAGTGCAGAAGCCAAAAGGTCACAGTTGCAGCAGAGTCTGGGGCAGGCAGGGTTACCTCAGCTCCTTTACCCTCAGGGCTTAGAGCCTGCAGAAGAGGCTGGAGTTACAGTGAGCTGGCTATGTCCCTCCAGGAGGAAATCTCAACCCTTCATCAATGTCACTCATGAATAGAGAATCGAGTGTGGCCCCACTGGATGGAAATTACTCATCTCTGTGTCAACTTCCTGCTCTCAGGGCAAGGCCTCAGCAAAATCTCCATGGTGACAGCTATTCAGATATGTGCTGGCCTGTGGTCACTGTGAGGAAGCTGGCAGACCCTGCTGCAGAGACATCCTTCTAGGGTCAAAGAAGAGTA